TCACTAACTTGACTTGCAGCTGAGTGTCGCCTTTATATAGCAGTCGGCTGCTCGCAGACGAAAGCGTAGAAGCATCGAATTGTTCGCTATGGAAGGTTCTTGTTTTATCGTACTAGTTATCGGCTTCTCTCTTTCATCTGACATTCGCCTCGCATTTTCGCAACAATATCGTTCTCACATATCATTGACATTACTTTCAACTGACATTCGTATTGAGCAGGTAAGCACAACAAAAGAAAAAAAACAAGAAGAAAATAAAATAACGCTAATAAAGCAGTAATGAAAATCGAGTTGCCAAGAGCCCGAAAAAGACTGAAATACAAACACAGAGGATGTTTTATTGTTAAGGTCGTTGCTTTTTTATTCGAAGAGCCAAAATTTATAAGCAAATATTGAACAAAAGGCTAAAGCGGTCATTAGTATTGAGTACGCATTGGGAATGGCCAAAGCTGCAGCTTGTTGAAGTTTGTATTGCTGCTGCTAGTGGGCATAGAAAGTGAAAACCAATTACAAGGGCATTAAATACATAACAAAATATAAGTAGTTAAATATGAAGATTCTGTGTATATAAACGGAGTTGTAAATTTGAAGATGGTGCATTGCCCGAAGTGAACTATATGAATAAGCGCTAAAGTGTATCCCAAAGTAATTTGAACGACTACAGCGAGGTTGCCTGGTCAACTTTTTTTTGCAAGAAATACAATAAATATATTGCCTAATTTCTATATAAACAAATCATTCGACGAGCTTGTTCATCGTTGCTGGCCTTCAATTAGTTTTTGTTTATTTATAGTTTAACACATAGACTAGTACGGGTATTTCAAGCTATTACTTTTAGCGATTTTAATTGCTTATTACTTTGCTATTCACTTGGTTTTCTGAAAACTCGCAGCCTAAAGCTTACTGGAGTGTACATTTAAGCATTTCAAAAACAATTCCCACACGATATGCAGTGGATAACTCGCTTGGATGGTGGACCACGTCGTGTTAATCATGCTGGTGTTGGAGTCGGTGATAGAATATACTCCTTTGGCGGGTATTGCACTGGTGATGATTATCGCCTAAACGAGTGCATCGATGTACATGTGTTAAATACAAATACGTTACGATGGGCCCTAGTGCCTCAAATGCGTGACGAAAATGGTTTGCCACTAAAGTATCCAGAAGTTCCATTTCAACGGTAAGTTAACTTCGGGATGGTTACAAGTCCACTCAACTACACATATGTAAAAGGAGCCTGTGCCTAACCGCTGATAATTGTAATAACAAATCATTCTATTTTATTTTCTTTTTTTAAGTTATGGCCACACAGCCGTTGCATATGAAGACAAAGTTTATATGTGGGGTGGTCGCAACGATGATCAATTATGCAATACTCTTTACTGCTTTGATCCGCAAACGCTCAGTTGGTCACGGCCTGTGGTAAAAGGCGATATCCCTGGTGCACGTGACGGTCATTCGGCGTGTGTTATCGACGATTGTATGTACATTTTCGGTGGTTTTGTTGAGGAGATCAATGAATTCTCATGCGATGTACACTGCCTAGATTTTCGAACGATGAAATGGCGATACGTACAAACCTTTGGTGTACCACCATCATATCGAGATTTTCACTCAGCGGCTTCTATTTACGGCCGTATGTATATATTCGGTGGACGTGGTGATAAACACAGTCCATATCATAGTCAAGAGGAAATGTACTGTCCGGAAATTGTATTTTTGGATATGAAAACCAAAATGTGGCATCGTCCATCTACTACTGGCAAAGTGCCGGTAGGAAGACGTAGTCACTCAATGTGTAAGATTTGTTATGTCATATTTGAAAAGTTAAAAAAAACATTAATTTTATCTTTGTATATTTTAAATGCAGTTATTTACAAGGGTCTCATTCATATATTCGGGGGATATAATGGTATTTTGGAAAGCCATTTCAACGATTTTTATACATTCGATCCGAAATCCAACTGCTGGAATCTTATTAAACCCTTTGGGCAACCACCAACTTCACGACGACGTCAAGTGTGTATTGTTAAGGACACGAAAATGTTTCTTTTCGGCGGTACCAGGTAAGGAAATTTGATTTCCACTGAAATTGAAAACTTTCATCATAAACCTATATTTAGTCAGTACCAACTTTGGTGTCAGTTTCTGAGACATTAAAAATATTTGCTTCAATTCATTTGTGTTACAGCCCTCATCCTCACGACAGTATACTGATCGATAATAATGACACACATGTACTAGACTTTGAGCCTACTCTGCGAACATTGGCAATTTTAAGCGTTATAAATCATCGGCTTGATACCACAATGCTGCCGAAAAAGCTGAAGTAAGTGATATTGAAAAATAGCAAATGTTATTTCCAACTGTATTCAATTCGTTTTGTATTTTTTCGCAGGGAAGAGATACGCTTATTGACACAACCGAATTCATTAACACGACCACTTAACCATGCTGGTTAAATGAAAAAAGCAATAAGTCATTTATCATACATACATTAAACAAAAACTAATGTACGAATACACATCGATGTGCAGCACCTGAATACCATTGAAACCAAATCCAGGGAAAATGGAAAGAATAGCAAAGGATATCAAAATAAGCTTACCATTTAGTATATATGTACATATGTATTATTCGCACTATTTTGCATTTAACATTGTTTTGCACAAATATTCATTTATAGATTTTACTTTTCATATTGCTCATCTGTAACACCAAAATGGAATTTTAAATTATTCTTGTTGTTTATTTAATTTCTTAACTTATACCGATGCATATTTCTACTTTTTTAATTACTCAATAGTTTGAAAATCAATTTTGGTATTTAGATATATTTTCAAAAATACATAATGAAAATGAGTAATAAAATCAAAAATCCTTCACAACGATAAACGGAATACGTAAAACAAATACCTACAATTTAACAACAATAAAGATCTTATTAATGCAAATGTTTATAAGACAGCAATGTGTATTGTATAGATACATTTGATAAAATAAAATAATTAAATTGTATAAAAAAGAATAATGAGCTTATTTTTAAATGCATGACTACCAAAGAATTGCCACCTGAGCAAAGGACAAAGGTTTATTCCGCTCCCTTCTTTATAGTGAATTTATCATCACTACGAAAAAATCGAAAGTTGATTTTTATTTTTTAATAATTAATTAATCATTTATTAAATAATATGAAAGTGTTCCTACAAATTATGTGTTTGTTATCTGCACAAAAAAAAGCAAATTACTACAAGTCGAATCAATTTGTAAGCGCGTACCAACTATTACCACCATTAAATATACAATTCATTACTATGTCATTTCAATAAATGGATGAGCTGCAGGCCATGATTGTAGAAAACAAAAAGTTTTCTTTCCAATTGTTGTTAGTAAAGGGTATAACTTGTAGAGAAAGAGCATTAGTAGGGTACATGCCAACCATTTGCCAAGTCCACGCCAATTAACTGTATTCTCTTGCCGCCGATGCTTCGCTAGGCACTATAAAGTCGTTGTTTTCAGTTGCTTTTGTTTACGCAATTCGTTCCAAGCAGGTGCGGGTGTATCCCGAAGCAACGTCCAGTTCGGTGATGGTACATCTGGCGACAACCAATTAAAGTCTGCAATATCGGAGTAATTATTATGGGTTCTATCCAAACCGGCCGATTGAAAGTCTGCATCCATTGTGGCGTATTCATAATTATATGCTCCCACTTCAATTTGATTGCAATCTTCAATTATAGCACGACATGTGACATGTAGATATATGCGACATATGCTTGATGAATGCAATCGCAGCTGCTGGCAAGCTAGAGCAAGTGTTGTTCGCTCACAGTGTTCAGCAAAGAGCGAACGTGCAATTGGTCCACATAGGAATGTGCAGTTGTTTGCGTGTGATATTTGTACTGAACCTGCGTGTCCACGTAGTTCTACAAAGCAATTTTTCAGATTAGAAATTGTTATATCTTTATTGTTTAAGGCTTCCCCCTCGAGACAAATATACTCATCTTCCCTATTCGACAATGTCCAGGTGAATGAATTATTGTCGATTTTGGATTTTTCTGGCATGTCTACTTTATCGGCTGCAGTTTTCATGACTTTTGGGTTTACCAAAACCTTTGGTGCCACTTTCTTGCCACTGAACCCAAATTTCTTTTTTGGTATTAATCGCAGACGGTATTCCTCGCAGCTATTACTTAATTCATTGAGAGTACTTTGACAAGCTTTAATTTTGAAGTCTGTTAGAAACATAGTCGATGTTGTGAGATAGCGTTGAAGCTCTTGTACCTGCAGTGTAATGTCGGCAAAAGCTCGTGTCAAATCAGCAATGTTTGTGTTGGGACTGGGTCTATCTGCAGCTACACTTGCAATATTTTCCAATTGCTCCTCTATTGTTCGTACACGTTCCGTAAATGTTTGAGAAAAATAATCGGTACCCTCCAGTTCGACATTTTCCTTATTACGTTGCTCCAATTTGACATCGAGATAATTTTGACGTTCCTTATTACGTTTATTTAAACGCTCCAAAATGGTTTCCTTCCGGGAGTCGGCATGGTCGCCACCACTCAATGTAGCATTACTGGTGTTTAGGTTTGTGCTCATTTTGTTTGGGTTAAAATTGCTGCCAACATTAATACGGAAACACTTTCAATTGATTCCTTCAATGGTAATTAATTACTTCTCTTTTTTCTGCATGTAAATTGGTGGTACTTCTCCGGTAGCAGCTTCACGCATACGTTGCATAAATTGTAGTTTCTTAAGTTCTTCGTTGGATAGATGTGCTGGTCCACCGGTCTCTTTAATACGGGCTAGTTTTTCCTCAGAGGGTTCGGTCAGTAGCATAAGTCCGTAGCCAACTCCGCCTGAACAAACTAACCAGATTAGAGATTTAACATACGGATTGCTTGCCATTTAGATATAGTGGTGATTAAGTATAGTATTATATTAAGAGATAGTACTCTTACTAAAGTGCTAATTGATGTAGTAGAATAGGATTTGAAAAAACTTTAAGGTACCCAATTGGTTATGACTGCTTATTCTCGTTTTTGATTTTCAGCACGCCAAACAGCAGAATCAAGTTTACGCAAATTACTGTCACCTAAAACTTCACCTACTTTATAATAGTAGTCCAACACAAATGGGAAGTTTTCGTTTACGTAGTGACGGAATTCTGAAAATATGTAAACATCAGTATGTCATTAAGAACAAATAATAATAATTATAATTATAGAGGAAGAAATATACAATGATTATTCCGAAACTTATGAGTGTTAATTTTATCACAATGAATTTATTTTGATTTTACTAAACATTTCTATAGATACATGGAAAATTATTTAAAAAAACAAATAATGCACAGATTGTTTAACAAACGAAGCTTTTTTCACTTAGAAAGAAGACCTAGGCGAGTGACCCTCCCACACGGCGCACTCGTCGTGATTCATCCACAATAAACCTGACTTGTATAAAGGTGCTTCTTCTTCTTAACACTGATTTTGAACACCCTACACCACTACAAAAAAAACTATTGTATAACAACTATAAAAACATAATGTCGTCTCTTAACTTATCTAATTTTAATTTCGAGTAATGGTCTTTTTTTATTTCTTTAATATGTATTGCTAATTTTAACTTTCACATACCACGATTAGTATTCATGCGATAATAAACTCCGTATGAAGCTGCAAAGGCAAAGGCTTCCGCTATAAATAACACTTTAGCACTTCCTTTGACGAATTTCCAGAATGCTGGCTTTGGTGTTTTTGGTAACATTACAGTTAAAAATAAAACAAATGTATTAAATCCGGCTTTTTTAAAGCTTTAAAATTGATTTCATCACTTTCTTTTTTGTGTTGCACGCTTTTTAATAAGATGCAATAAGAGTTTGACGTTTATATTTCTGGGGATTTTTACGGATTATGGAAACATTGTTAATAAAAACCATTGTGAATTAATTCAACCCTTTAATGCAAATGCTTTCGGAAAGAAAGAAGTCATCTTCAATTCTAATCTCGCTTCTTTAAATTATTGGGGAAAAACATATAGCAAATAAATTCTTATATTCTTTGTTTAAATATGTTAATCATATGTGTTTTAAGGAGACCTGGCGTAGTTTTGAGCGTTCATTCACAATAGCTACAAGGCATAACGATTTGTCAGCATTCTTAAAACAAGTACTATTGGGAACGAGTTGCTGTTGTTGTGCTCTTGCCTCGGTTATTTAAAGTTATCCTACTTAGTGTTCTTTTGTAACTTTTTTATTAGCTGAAAGCTGACTAGGATTAAAAAAATAGAATATATCTGCAATATTTATATAAAAAACAAATTAAATATCTGAAATCTTAAAGAAACATCCATGTAATATGTCCATTGGCGGCAAACAGTATGTGAAGAAGAATTAAAAGCAAAATTACAGATGTATAAATATTAACCTTTTTTTAGAACACGCAGAAGATGGAACGTGCAAGAAATCAAGATCTTGTTGAAATGCTATTTAGCACACAAGGAGGAATTTGTGCATTCCCACAAGCGGTTAGCGTACAAACATGTTTTGGATGATATGATAGCAGAAGGTTTTGATGTAAGATCAATTTGTACATATGTTCATACATATATAATATTTAAGAAATATACTTAAGACTTGTTTTTCTATGTAATAATTGTAGGAATCGTCAATAACTATACTCACCTGAGAAAGCAAAATGCGTAGCCTTCTTCATACTTATAAAATGGTGAAAGAAAATGATGACAACAATACACGTACCACGTCCTATCATACTCAATACATGTCCGATATGGAGACAATTTTTGGGGAAAGTTATCTTGCCGAAAGTGATCACATATTGCAAATTGGTATAGATTCAGAGGAAGCCTTTGATATATCCAGAAGAGCTTCAGATGGTCCATCGCAAAGAGGGGAATCGTCTCCACTACAGGATTCCTCGTTTTCCAAACCTGAATTAGATATTAAAGAATCACCACCTTCTTCACCTTATTCCCAAACACATTTAAAAATATCTCCTCCGCCCTCTCCTACGCCACAACTTCCGACGACAACAACATTACTATCTTCCCAAATGAAGCCGGCAGCTAAATCGAAGCTCTGTGAAGGAAAGAGTCGTCGCGGATACATAACACGTGATATTTATTATAAGGAAAAATTGAGGATTATAAAAAAAGTGGCCGAACATAAAATTAGAGAGCGAAGGCGAATGACTAATCTAGTTGTAGAAGCCATTAAAGAAATTGAACATAAAAAACTGAAACTTTTCGAAGCATACTTAAAATCATAGATCTATTTTAATTATTCTTGCAACATATAACCATTTTAAAAGATATTTAAGTTGCTGTTTGAAATATTCGGCGCTTTACCTATCAAAAAAAAAAAAAAAAAATTATTAAACTGAATTAATATATTTATATATAAATAATTAACATGCTAACATGAATTTTATTAATATCGACTTGATATCAGGACTTAAATTTACTGTCTTAAACTACTTGTGGTGTATATGTATATACATATGTATTTTCTAAGGGGTCGTCTCTACCTTTATTACCTTATGCTTTCTTAAATATTCTAAAAGTAAGTCCCGTCGATAAAAATTGATGTCTTCTATAGGTTCATTTTCAATAATGTTGTCAACATTTTTGAAGTCACCTTTATAGGAGTTTTCAGCACCAAAATCATTTGAAGATATGCATATGTTGTGAAGAACACAAGCACTAACGATAATGTTGACGGTAAAACACAAGCTCATCGATTCAGTAAATTTTTGTAATCTTCTGAAGCGATTTTTCAATAAATCGAAAGCTCTTGTAACAACTTTTCGGGCATTTGAATGCAAATTGTTAAATAATATTTGTGCTTCCATCAAGTTATCATCGTCTGTAAATGGGGCCACCAGCCAGTTATTTGAGGGATATGCAGGACCAGCTAACAAAAAGTAGTCATGCGGAAATAAAATTTGATTTTCTGACTGGGCTTTTTTGAAAAGATTGGATCTACGTAGTACTAAATTTTCATGTTGTGAACCCGGTTCACCGCAGCTTACATCTGTAAATCTTTTGTCAGCACCTACTACAGCTTGTAGAAGAATACTATAGCATTCATTTCGGTTGAGATAATTTTCTCTATTCTTCGATGGTCGTTTTATTTGTATGTGTGTACAGCCGATGGCTCCAATTATTCCAGGGATTTGGTTCATTTCAGCGAATTTTCTTTCCATATTATCTGCATCAGAACGTTGTGGCCACTTTATGAATTCTTGACCAAGGGAAATTATCCAAGCTGATACTCTATTTAGCACATACCAAGCGCTTGAATTCGAAACATCAAATAAGTAACTCAGTTTTCGAAAGCTCACCGCATTGCTCATATACCAAATGTATAAATATATTTTCTTTCTTGGTGAAAGTCTTGCTCTTCCTCCTGCGTGTGTGCTGGGTACCACACTAGTGGTATATCTATCTGCAATAAACATGAACACAAATATATATCTTCATTTACAAATAAATACCCAGTTATACCGTACCAATTAAAAATTGAACAGTTGAACGTCGCATTCGCATATGATATTCAAATTCGCTATCTGAGTATTTGTCAATTATATCACAAAGATTTTCTCTTAGGGGGTTTTTTCGTGGCTTTTTATGTGGGATGATCTCCTCTTGGACAGAGTCATCCGAACTTTCTGAGGACTCGGAGCTGGAATTTGAAGATATATTATTTAAAATATCCACTATTCCCATTGTATCATTCTCAACTTGATCTTTATTTGCGAAGAACTTATTTAGCTGTAAAGATATATTTACCATTACCACTGCCATAAAAATATATGATCTTACCAAATTTATCTTTTCTTCGTCCATCTAAAATAATAGTACTATATTTTTAATTTTGTTTATTGTATAATCAATCTTGAATTCAAACTTATGAAAATATATTTTCGGCTTTCTCTTTAACCCTTATAAGTACCTTACCATGGCAGTCCGTCTTCACCTGCTGAAAGTTAAGCCGATGGCAATTAAAAATTGTTTCTGCTCAGGGTGACATTTTCAATTTTGCCAACAAGGAGAAAAACGGCAGGCAAACAACAATGAATATTTTTAAATATCAAATATGAAAATAAAAAGCTGTTAAAATCGTTCTTACGTTCTTTGTTCAAACGTTGTCGGGTCTACAGATTCTCGCTTGCTTTAGCCCGCAAAATAAATTTTGCAGCGCGCGGGTACATTTGAAAGCAAACGTGTATATTTAACGGTGAATGAGCAATATTCCAATTTAAAGAAGAAGAGAGATTTGTCAAATACAACTTGACATTAGTGTTGTTTAAAACAATTTATCTTTTATTGTTTAGTCATCACAATTCGCAAAAGGAAACTTCCTGTTTAATCTAGAATATTTCGTCATAATTATTTTGTGATTTAAATAGCTGCACTGTAGTTAACAAGTGTTTAGTATCAAAATGGAGTTTCCACATCTCGGTCAACACTGCAACGAATCCACCTGTAATCGTTTAGATTTCCTGCCATTTAAATGTGATTCTTGTGCTAAAGTGTTTTGCTCAACTCATTTTAATTATGATAACCATTCCTGTGCTGGTCCACGTCGCAAAGACATGCAAGTGCCTATTTGTCCATTGTGCGGTGAGCCCGTTCCTACTGCGCCAGGTGTTGAGCCTGATCTAACTGTGGGCCGTCATATTGATCAACAATGTAAGTCGGACACAAAGAAAATTTATACAAATCGTTGCAGTTACAAAAACTGCAAAAAGAAGGAGCTCATACCAGTCACTTGCAGAGAATGTAGAAAAAATTATTGTTTGCGTCATCGACACACTACAGATCATGAATGCAATAATGCTTCGAATGCAAATGTGGATCAACGCACTTTGGCACTGTAAGTTTGATTTTCAGACATTTTATAATAAAGAATTTCAACTGAAATATGTAATATTCAAATTTTAGGAATGCTGCCGAATATCGTCGCACAAACAAGCCAACAACATTGTTCAATGCACAGCCCAAACGTAATCAAGTTCCAATAGGTACACAAGTGCAAAACATACAAGGAAATATGGTAATTATTATACCGTAGACATATAATTATTTAACGAAATGTTATCATCATTTCCTCATTGTGGTTTTTATACTTTTAGACTGAGGATGAAGCTTTAGCTCGTGCACTTGCTTTATCAATAATGGAACTAGACGAGAATGCAGACCGTGAACGACGAAATCAAGCAGCTGCTGTTCCACCTAATGCTACAGTTCGCGTAGGAGGACGTGATGGTCAAACAACAAATGTCAAAGACAAATGCCTGCTTTCATAGTTCGGAATGAAGAGTTATATACGTTTTATTGTTAGCTTAGGATTGCATATTCCATAAGTAGTGTCTAAGTTTACAAACTGTTTGTTTTATATTCGGTTATTTAATGAATTAGTCTTAAACTAATACATACAAATTCATATAACGTGCCAGTGCATATATGCATTTAATGTAGTTAACTATACAAACACATAATGGCATATGAAGGAATTCCTGTAATATTTTAAAATAGGCTTTAAGTAGTGGAGTTAACTTAGAATTGCCAGCTACGTCAAAATAGTGACGAATCTTAATCGATAGAAAAAAGTTATTTCATTTTTAGTTTGGTTATTTTCATTGACATTGTAGTTGTTCATTTTAAATAAATATTACCTACAAAACTGAAAAAAACGCATTTTCGTCAGTCATTGAACCACTTAGAGTTACATTTTTTACCTCCTCTGTTGGAAAATTTTATTGTTTTTTCCGAAGCGAGAGATTTTTAGCTCTCGTTTCAATTAAGCCCATGGTGGGATCTTTATTTGCCTTGCACAGTTGCTAAATTCGTTTAAAGAACCCCACTGTTTTACTTGGTGACCCACGCCGGTTAGGAACTAGTTAAGGTGATGAGTTTTAGATGTTTTATGTGGTCTAGATACCATTTATTGTGGTATAGGTACCTAGAAATACTCGAAGGATAATGGGTATATGAGACTTGTTCTTCTCCATTTATTTGTGCTATGTTGTTGTTGGTTGTTGCTGTTGTTGTTCATCAGGAAACGAGAGGTTTTGTCCATAATCACAAGTGCCTTTACTTGGGAGCCATGAATTGAAACTTAAAGTATTCTCTAATCCGACAAGGATCGAGCTGAATAATCCGGTCAAAATTACCATCCGGGTATAGTGCAGATGGGTTACCTTAATTTAATGTGACAGCCTTTGGTCGGATAAAATCCGGGTCAACTCCGGTACGTAGAACCGGCTGTCTTGAGAGTTGCAGATGGGCGTCCCCACTGCTTTGCTAATAGTTCATGCGACAGCGAACCGGACTTTTATCCGTCGAAGGACTGTCACTCCTGCAACCTTCCCTAAAGACTACTTTGGGGAATATTTTTGCGTTTACAAAAACAACAACAGTGCAGTAGGGGCACGATGATGTGACGGCTCTAAAATTTTTCAAGGTGGAAACTCGAGCGACGATAACAGCAAACGATTTAATGAATTAAGGGTTAGACCCTCTGCTAGCTTGAATACCGGATAACCCCTGCGGGTTAGGGTTCAAGAATTTACCAACGGTAAGGCGACTAAAATTCAAAAGTTCCTGCGTCAGTCGGGTCTTTATACCGGAACGAACCGGAAGGGCTAATCTAAAGTCCGTTGGAAAGATCAATAGCGAAAAGATTTTGATTCATTTGATACCTCAATTGTCGCCAAACAGTGATATATACGTATATAGATGTGTAGATATATGTAAATACATATGTGAATCCTTAAAAAAAACCTGTGAAACCATGTGCCGAAGAGTTTTCAGATGAAAAATAAGAGTGTAAGACACTTTTCACTTTTTCACAACTGTAAAAAAAACTATTGCTATGTACCTGTTTGCAATTAAAAAAATTTTTACTGACAAAATGAAAAGTGTAAATAAGTTTTTAGTTTTCATGTGAAAAGTTTTCATGTGAAAATGTAAGAATGAAAAGAATTTTCACCTTTTAATTTTTTCACAACTAGAAAATATCTACTCCAATATACCCGCTTGCACAAAAAAAAATTATTACAGGAAATGCGCTATGATGTTTTCATATGAAAAATAAGAAAGAAAAAGATTTTTTCATTTTTTCACAACTAGAAAAAATTTACTCTAATATACTCGCTTGCATTAAAAAAATTATAACCGAAAAAGTGCTATGATGTTTTCATATGAAAAATAATAGTGTAAGACACTTTTCACTTCTTCACAACTGGAAAAAATCTATTGTATTGTATCTATTTGCAATTAATAAAATATTTACTGACAAAATGAAAAGTGTAAAAAAGGATTTTAGTTTTCATGTGAAAAGTTTTCATGTGAAAAGATAAGAATGAAAAGTATTTTCACTTTTTCACAACTAGATAAAAAACTACTCCAATTTACTCGCTTGCGCTAAAATCATTATTGCAGGAAAGGCGTTAAGATGTTTTCATATGAAATATAAGAAAGAAGAGATTTTTTTTTTTAATTCTTTACAACTAGAAAAAATTTACTCAATGTACCTGCTTGCTCTAAAAAAGTTTATTAGTAGCATAATAAAAAGTGTTTAGATGTTTTTATGTGAAAAGATAAGAATGAAAAGTATTTTCACTTTTTCACAAGTAGAAAAAATCTACTACAATTTACTCGCTTGCACTAAAAAATTATAACCGAAAAAGTGCTATGATGTTTTCATATGAAAAATAATAGTGTAAGACACTTTTCACTTCTTCACAACTGGAAAAAATCTATTGTAATGTGCCTGCAATTAATAAAACTTTTACTGACAAAATGAAAAGTGTAAAAAAGATTTTAGTTTTCATGTGAAAAGATAAGAATGAAAAGTATTTTCACTTTTTCACAACTAGACAAAAAACTACTCCAATTTACTCGCTTGCGCTAAAATCATTATTGCAGGAAAGGCGCTAAGATGTTTTCATGTGGAATGATAATAATGAAAAGAACTTTTCACTCTTTCACAACTAGAAAAATATATAATTTACAAAACTTGAATTAAGTGATAATTGAAAAATTTTATCACGACATTTTATCACAGAATAAGAACCAAAACTCTATCGAAATAACTGGTTAAATTTTTTGAAATTTCGCTGGAAAATTCTACTGAACAAAACAAAATTAAATTATTTAAGAAAAATTTAACATTTCAACAAAGCTACTGGAATACTTTTTGAAAGTGCGTACGAAAGTAATTCGCTTGAATAAATTTCACAATTTTTCCATATATTCGATAAATGCCACAGCTATGGGTACACATAACGCTATTCTATTTACGAAAACCCGAACGACAAACTATTCTAAACGCTGAGTGAAAGTAGCAAAAAATAAAATGAACTTCCAACGCTCTCGAATTAATCAAAAGAATACATATCCGTACATACGTATATTGTGTAAATTTTATATTTAGTTAGTTACTTATAAATAAAGTACTTGGAGATGAGCGATTTAGTATTTTGTAAGACCACAGACTGAGAAGATGGCGGGAAAGGTGGAGATTTGAAAAAGAACAAGTAAAATTTTTAATTTGTTTGGTCTTGCAGAAGGCCTACAAACCGGCTAGTAAACAAAAAAATTACGAAAAAATTGTTAGGTGTGAGCTACCAGTGACAGTGAAAAAGTGAAAAAAAAAACCGTCAGAAATATAAAATCCCATGAGAGAAATGCAAAATTAATTACATAAACATTTTACAGTGATACCTCAGATGAAACTGCTATGAAAATGAAGGAAGAAACAGCAATCCTCTTACTTGCCTTTGCGCTGTTCATTGCTACCGCCCAAATAGCCACGGTTAACGGCAGTCGTATACTTGGTATTTTTCCACATTTCGGTTACAGCCACTTCAAGGTCTATTATCCACTTTTACGCGCGCTCGCCGAACGTGGTCATCATGTCACAGTAGTGACCTATATAGCAGCGCTAAATGAGACGAAACCAGCTAATTATGAAGAGTTGCTCTTGAAGGGTCGTGAGACTACGAATATGATTACTTTTGCTGATGTATTACCACATCGTACACTGTACGATATCTTAACGGAGATAAATTTCGTGCATAATGAGGGACAAAAGGCTTGCAAGCGTTTGTATGAGAGCGTTTATGTGGATAAGATTTTCAAGCGTCACGAAAGGAAACCATATGATTTGGTCATAACGGAGTACTTCAATACGGATTGCCAGTTGGGTATACCATATTTGTTGCAACTACCGGTGGTGGGCTTAAGTAGTTGTATCTTGATGCCTTTTCATTATGATCGTATTGCCCTGCCGGATTTCCCTTCGTATGTGCAATCAGAATTTGTGGGTTTCCCGGAGGTGTTGAAATGGCATGAACGACTATTAAATTTTCTTCAAATGAAGCTGCTAAAGCATATTTATCGGTAAGGAGTTTTGAAAGTGTAGAAAAGTAAGTAGTAAAAATAAGGGGTGTTTTTAGACATGTGGTTTTCAAGAAGAACTGCAATGAAAATAATTTAACGGTATGGCCACGTTATATAATAATTGGCGGAGGGATCCGGAAACCGCCTCCAAACAGCTGATGGGTTTTTTAATGTCAGAAATACACTCGGAGGGGATGATATTCCCTGCAGAGGGGCGACTGCATTTAGAAAAATTAGCTCAATTTTTTATTATAATTAAATTTCTTTAATTTGTGGATGTCGGTTTCGAACCCAGGGCGCTCGAATGGCAGTACACAGCGCGAAGAACTCGGCTTTTCTTCCATAGCTTATCGGGCTTAACTGTGTAGACAAGCGACTTTACACGTCGCGGGATTATGCGCTCACCAAAAGTCTTCCTCACTAAATGTATTGTTTATTTGCCTGTTTGGCATGTTGCGCCGTCTTATTGGAGCCAAAGGTCGTTCATATCAACATCTTCCAATTGAGGCACGAAAAAATTGTTAATCATGGTTTTATAGCGTAAACCATTTACATTGTTTTTGCCTTTCGCTTGTGGCTCAATAATGAGTTATATATCATCACACCAAATAGGACAATGTTGTTAATTAAGGTACCCATTCAACCAATAGTGTGATTAATCGCTGAACAAAATTTTCTTGTGTGAATCCGTATCGCTGACTATCTCTCTCTGCGTACATTCTTCGAACGTGTGACTGCTTCGTGGTCGTTCGGCTTCAATTCTTGCACGAGTTGGATTTCGTAAGTAAGCAAACCAATATCCTTTCGCAAAAGCTGCCATAAAGTGGATGAGCGAGTATGGCAATAAAGTCTTCGTTGTGCACTGTATGGTGTCTCTGAGAATGAGCGTTACTCACTAGACTAGGAACGCTCGAAACAAATAAAATTGCACGATTTGCAAACGTTATTCCGAACTAAGTCTGGCCATTATGAAGAGGCAA